TAGGGAAATCCATATGTGCCTGGTGTAAGCTACCACAAGTATTTGCTTCTCCATTTCTGCTGTAATTACTATCTAATTTTTATCTTAAGCGTAAGTGGCTCATTAAACCCCTAATTTACAGATATCTGGAGAAGATCTGAACAGAAAGTGGAGGATTTTTCCTGATTTAAATAATAACCAAATAAGAAGCCAGATTACTGCATACTTTAAAAGGACCAAAAGTTTCTGATCAGCAGTAGCTCTCAGGTTTTTGTTAAGGGTTCTGTTAAGGTGACATAATAGCATGCCTGGCAATAGTACTTGTGTATTGCTAGAACACAGGGCAGCAAATATTGCTAGCTTCAATAATAAGCTACTGTAAATATAAGCAGTATATAAAAAGAAACTTAAGAGGGGATGTAATTAAATTGCATAAATCATTATATTACCTAAATAAATCTATGTTAATTATTATGTGTAGCCTCAGGAATATAAAAGGAAAATAACAAGAATGATTGTGCATAAACAAAATAAAATTCATACCAGACTGAGAGAGGAATTTTTCTAAAAAATAGTCAAAAGCAAACTGACATAGGGCTTTTCAATAAACAAATTAACTTTATTTTTACAATATTAAAACTAGCACAAATCAGGCAAAGGCAAGGCAACATAAATTTATTTCTCAAATAATTTATTATGGTGATATACAATGGAGGAATGGAGGATGGAGGGAAGTTATTGCTACATCAGAGGTGCCCCAATGGTCAGTGAGGCCTCGGGACTGACTTGACTTGAGTTGATATACAACAAAGTTGAACTGTCATAGTTCTTCATCCCATACCTTGACTAAAAATTCCTTGTGCTCATGGGTTGCACTCCCTGTTCAATAAAAGTATAAAGAAAGGACTGTGCAATGTTAATTAGAAAATATTTACTCTTCCACACCATAAATACACTTTTTAAAAACTTTTTTTATCAGAAAACAAAAGATTGAGGCTAAAACCTGACCATCTTCGGTTTTTGAATTTTCAGTGAAAGTTTAAATTCCTTGTGGAAAATCTTTGTTTTGTGGAAAAACAGATTTCAGAATGCATTTTGTCAAAACCTAATTTTCTTTGAAAAACAGTGTTGATTGAAATAATTGGATCTACCTTAGAACTGAGTAAAAACCACCAGAAAAAGTGGGGAGGAGGTATAACTTTACTGTGAAAAACAACATTGTTTCTTTAGCTAGTATAATTCACACATCCCATTTAATACACTGCACCACAATGTCAGTTTGTGTAAAAAACATCACTGGACACACAGGAATGTGGCAATAACTGCAGGCGGGACTAATCCCCAGATATATAGAATGGAGCATACCCAGGAACACTGCATAAAAGTGAAGAAAAAAAGAGTAGGAGACACCAATGGCTCCAGCAAGGTCATATTGAACAGATGGCATCAACCAGCTGTAGGGTTTTATATACTCTGCAGACTTCAGGGCTCTGATGCTTTATGGAGCATTGGTGCTTGGCCCCTTAGTATGAATTTGTTGGCATGGAACCTCCTGCCCTCTGAGTCAGCAGCTGGAGCGAGTCATCACAGTTAGCAGTTCAGATGAATCACCTCAGTAGTGAGTTGTTAACTCTGACTTCTTCACACCCGTGCCATGCCTAAATCTTGCAGATCTTGCATAATATCCCTCAGACAGAGTCTTTCCTAAACAGCCAAATTTCTCATTCAAGTTCTTGTCATCTCACATCTTGATTACTGAACATTTTTTCTGGCTTTGACAAATGCAATCTTGCCTTGCTTATGTGTGCATTCAAAAGGCAGAGGCAAAGAACATCTTTTCAACCAGCTCCTAGGACTATGTAACCCACCTTTTGGAGCCTCTGGGTTCCTCTTCTTTATCCCATCAAACATACCCTACTTTTCATTTTTAAGGCCCTGCAGATTCTTGAAAACCAAGATATTAGTGACCTAATATCTCTCATTCAGTATTAAGATGTTAACGCTCAGCTCTAGTCTATTAATGATGCCAGCCTCCTTGTTAGCAAGGACCTTCATGCCTTCATGATTTCTTCCCTGCTTCCCCTCACACTGGGAAGGAGAGACATGTGAAAATCCTCTGTTACCTCACTATCTAATTTTTAATCCCTCCTTAAAATGCTCTTTTGCTGTGATGTCTACAAAAAATTGTCAGCCATTAGCCTGTTGGTATTAAGTTGACTAATATTGTTTAATAGGGCTGTGCGAAGCTTCTGTTCCCAATTTGATTCGGAGAAGATTTGGACCAATTCGGAGGCCAAATCTCCGAATGCGAATCAAATCTCTAGAAGCTTAAAACTTCCCAAATTGATTTGGAAAAGATTCAGCAATTTGCAGATTCGGAAGGCAGTCTTTATGGGGAAACAGAAACTTAGAAGAGGGAGGGGGAGCAGGGGGGGAAGGACTGACATCTCTAGCTGGCCAGTGAGTGTGACTTGTCTCTGCCAGAGGTGCAGGGCCCCAAAACCCCCCTGCACCAATCTCCTTGACAGCTGGCAGGCTTTGTGGCTGTAGCAGGGCCTAGCAGCCAGGCCTGCAGTAGTTTCCTCCCCTACTCCCCCCCCACCCCCGTGTTCCAAGACAGACACAGTCACACAAGCAGTCAGGGGCCCTTTGGGAATCAGAGCTGGGGGGCAGCAAAGGCGCCAGTCACAGGGCTCAAGTGCCTATATATTAATGCTAGGAGCATGGGGAGCAAGCAGGATGAACTCTTGCTTGCAGAAAACACCTACGACTTAGTAGGGCTAACAGAAACCTGGTGGGATTCTTCCCACGACTGAGCAGTACATATTGAGGGTTATAAGCTGTACAGAAAGGACAGGGTGGGGAAGAAAGGGGGAGGGGTTGCGCTCTATGTCAACGAGCAATATATATCGACCCTTATCAAGACAGAATCGAAGGAGGAGAAAGTAGAAGGATTGTGGGTTAGGTTACAGGAGGGTCAAGGAGAAAGGGATTTGGTGGTAGGGGTCTGCTACAGACCCCCACACCAAGGGGAAGAACTAGATTTGGGGCTCCTGAGGCAGCTCTCGGAGACCATAAAAACTAAGGAGGCAGTAGTCATGGGGGACCTAAACTACCCAGACATCTGCTGGGAGACGCAGACAGCAAAGTCCCACCATTCACGCAGGTTCCTATCCTGTGTACAGGACCTCCACCTGA